TATATATATATATATATATATATATATATATATATAAATGGTTGTATATGTTAACGACCGCGATAAATATGATAGAATAATTTTTTGTAACTTGAATTTAAATTTAAATAATAAATTAACATATAAATTTTCTATGTTAATAAAACAATCAAGGATTTTTGCAAGAGTATTGGTAAAATTAAAATTAAAATTATGACTGAATATTTATGACAGCAATAAATAGCAATAAATAGCTAGAATAAAGAGAAGCTTAGAATAGAATAAGTTTTAAGATGTATCGGGCTCCGTAAAAAGTCCTGTCATTTTTTTCAAAGCATCTTGTTTACAAATATGCAAATTTTGAATGCAAAAGGTAACGATTCCATCAAAACAAAATGAAATGAGTGTAGATATTACAACAAGATGCTTGAAAAAAGGGAACAGAAAAGGTTCGACTGATAGGACCTTCTGCAGAGCCTGGTATTTTGTAATTTAAATATAAATTTAATTAACATATAAATTTTTTATTAGACACGCGGCTTACTGGTCTTTGATTCTGGTCTGGCTGGATGACGTACGACGGGAATTCACGTTTAAGCCGAGTCTAAGGGTCTATGCGGAAAAAGTATTGAGACGCGTGGCAGAGAAATTTAATCTGTCCTCGCCGACCTACGTCAGCGTACACGTGCGCAGAACCGATTACGTGGATTATCTCTGGCAAAAATTAAAAACACGACCCGCACCGGTAAGTTACTACCTGTCGGCGATGGATTACTTCGCTGACAAATATAGTAACGTAGTCTTTGTAGTAACAAGCGATAATATCGCCTGGTGCAAGTATAACTTGCGCAGTAAGCGTCACAGAATTAGTTTCGTGTCGGACAATGACGGCAAAGGCCCCGGAAAAGATCTGGCGGTCTTGTCCGCGTGCAATCACAGCATAATAGATTACGGCACTTACGGCTCGTTCGGAGCCATTTTGGCTGCCGGCGAAACCGTAGTTTACAATGTAACAACATACTTTTCTACGTTGATCGCAGACGTTCTACCAAACTGGAGAATAATGAGTTGAACGAGAAATCAAATAACGCGAAATTAACAATTAACGTATTTACGTTGTATCATCTCTTGTAATACGTAATTTTTTCAAATGACGCGACAAATTATATATTCTTGAAAATTTTTTATTAATTTATAATAAGACAATTTCTGAAAACTTCCTTTTAACACCAATAAAATACCAAAATTTGCAATTCAATGTTTTTAAACTATTTTACATATTTTTATCAGGCGAAAAATGTATAAAAACTACGCAGATAATCATAGTATACTATTTATTTTAATACCTATGCAAGTATGATAATTTTTAACTACTTGAAAGTGTATCTTGCCTTTTTCCTGCTTAGATAAAAAAAAATACTCACTTTTTCCTTTTATTTATCGTTCAACTGTATGAACATCTAAATGAAAGTATGTTGCTACATCATGTTAAATTTTATATGTGTAACGACGTAAATGCATCATTGTCAAAATGTTAACAGTATTATGCATATATTACGCTCTTGTTTAAATTTAGTGTGTGCACACAAACTAGGAATCGATGCACCTGTAAATGTAGCGAGCAAACTTTTCAACAAACTCGAGGAAAAGGTTTACAATGAAACAATGGACCATTAATATCTAAAATTAAAACAGATGCTTATTTTTTCTACGACTCTGATACAAACTCGAGACGGCCGTAAAATTTAATAAAAAGGGAAAAAAGTGTAGAGATCAGATATCTTTTCCGAATAAGGTGGTAACCAAACGAGCCTAATTCAAAAAACACGCATATGAATAAATTCTAAATTTTGCAGTGCTCATAATTGTGTCTGGTAATCTTCAACTTTCGCGTGATCTTTTCCAAAAACTGGATTTTCCCCGATATTAGTTCGTAATTTATATAGTTTTCTATAACGTAGCCTAGCAGGGTTTCAAGTTGATTGTGTTTTACACGTTTCAATGTGTATTTCATATCGTAGAAGAGCGTGTAATATATACTTCACAAAAAATACGAAACCGACGTATTGACAACCATCTGTAAATCTTATGATGTACAATGATTTCAACTGTGATTCTATTTCTTATTGTGCCAAAATTCTCTTAATATACACATAAGCATATAAAAATATATATGTATATATATATACAACACACATCTATATATGTATTATAAAATTATATCTATACAAAGCGTTGTATAATATTTACAAATCTGTGAGCAAATGATAAATTATTTCTTCACACTTAATCGTTAAGTATTACCAAAAAAAAGTTTACTACTTATTACGCGAGAGATGGATGGAGAAGTATTTTACATAAAGCCAGTGTTTGAAATTTATTAACCATGTGACCTGATGTATTTGACTTACAGTGTTTTACAATCTAGACTAGTCAGTGTGTCTAATATCTATGTGTTAATATCTATATATGAATGTATCTTCAATGTATTTGTGCCTGTCAGTTGTTAGATATCTATGAAATGTTGAAACGTTATGCGATTAATAATAGAATTACAATAGAAATGTATGACCCGTGCGTGATATCAGATTTCTCATTGCCAACAGTAACTACGACAAGATTAGAAACAAAAGTTAAATGTTAAATAATTGCTGAGACTATACAACTTCCAGGCATCGATACGACCTACTCTATACATTCTCTGTGATAATTTTATGTAATTTTTGAGGACGTAAAGCGTAAGCTGAAATGTATTCGTTTTACAGAATAAAAATACTCTGTGTCAAAATTATATGTATATGTATATTAAATATCTATATCGATTATACTTTATAATTAAAAATTATCTTTTAATTCTCAACAGACGCTACCGCTATGTGCATCAAGTGTATATATTACGGAACGTCATAGTTATTATAGTTTACAACACAAACGTCATTATCAAACTTTCTAAAAATATTGTGTTTTGATTCTTTCATGAAAATATATAAAAATAGTAATAAAATGTTACACGGCAGTGTGATTTTCTCAGGTAAAGAATATATAAAATTTCTATAAATCGATTATATAAGTGCTTATGAAATATGTTATTGATTTGCAGTTACGAGACCAGCTGGACCTAAGCCTAATTTTGTGCCAGTTATCCTCATTCTCAGAGGTTGAAATCCAAGTTCAGCCTTGGGAATTCCGTATTCTTGAAGTTTGCTTTCATAAGTCACCAATAAGTCATCATGCGCTTTGCAAACTTTCGCCAATTCGTATTGCAGATCTTGTATCGCTGTATTTTTTCTATTGAGCATATCCTACGGAGAAAATGTCACAGTAATATCATATCGTTCAAACAGTCGTAATGAGATGAGTACCTCTAATTTCTTGTTCACATTGACGACCGCCGTAGGATCCAATTGAGCAGCGGCTAAGACTTCACTAATTTGCGCTTCGCGTTGCTCCAGTAAGTCCGACAATTTTTCTAATTTTTTCTCCAAGAGTACATTCTTTAAACCTGTCTTTTGTTGCAGCTCGAAAATAGCCGAAACAAATTTGGAGTGTAATTCGTCTCTCTCAGACTGACACTAAATAGAAAATGATATAGCATATGAAAAAAGTTATTTGTGTTTTGTAAGTCTGTCATATCATGTATATATTTAGGTAATTTACTTTTTCAAAACGCAGCTCGAGTACTTCATTTTCCCATTTTAAATTTTCTAGATCTTTCGCTACTGCAGACAATCTGCGTTTTGTATTCTGTAATATATCATTTCAATTGTATTTTCGTTTTTAATAACACTATTTTATACTAAAAATATGTTTCAGATACTGACAGTTAGACATTGTTTATCTTTTTCGTAATTCGAAAGCTGGCGACTAAGTTCCTGCGCTGTTTCCTGCGAAGCTTTCAAGTCAGCCAAATATTTTTTATTCTCCGCTGTCAGTTCTCGCACTTGTTTCTTCATACGTTCTTCATTATTTCTCATCACTTCCATTTGTTCCTATTATAGAAATTTTATATAAAAAGATTCTTTATGTTAATCAGAAATTTTTTAATTTCTATTTTTTTTTATTATTCTGTAATAAGGATTTAATATAAAAAAGATAGCAAAATTCACACACAACACACACCTTCATGCTCTTAATCAGTGATAAGTTATTGAGAGTGATATCGTTGTAATAATTTTTCATTTCCGTGAATGCATTCTCATGATTTTTTATCAGATTCGCAATTTGTGCATTCTTTCTTTCCTCCACTTCTGTCATCTCCATGCGATGCTTCAATATTAAGGACTCGTATTGACTGGTCAATTTTTGTTCGTACTTCTGCTCCAATTCCACCGCTTCAGATTCAAATTTTTTCATCATATTGCTCATTTCCTCTGAATTGTGCTATATTTTATATGTATAAAGATAAGTGGCTAAAAATTGTTTAATAGGTGAATGTATCCATTACACTTGCATCTTACCAACTTCAACGCACGAATTTCGTTCATGTACGCTAATTCCTGTTCTTTCTGCATTTTTTTCAGCTCTGTTTTGTCTTGAATAAGCTCATTCTCTTGCGCAACATGATCGTCTTGTGCCAATTTGAGTGCAACCAGATGTTCCGCCTTGGTTTCAGACAAATTAGTCTGATGCTCATACATTAAGTGTTTTACTTTCTGTTTGTATAATTTGAGTTCAGCCTCGTGTTTTTCCGCCAATTCCTCTTTCTCACGTTCCTTATTTCTGTAGGATTTACAAATATATTGCACACAGCGCAAATCGACAATCGTTATCACCGTTATCGAAAGTACCTGACTGTAGCACGCGCTTCATCCAACTGATGTCTCGTAATTTCCCAAAAAGTACGTAATTTATCCCTTTCTATTTGAAAAAAATTTCTCTCCTCTCGCTCGCGTTCCATTTCTTCTAATATCTTATGGGCATATATCTCCAACTGTTCCCTATTCATTTTTGTTGTATCAACCCCCTCGACACTGTCCACCGCTTTCCCTTTTGCCTTCTTAGGACCCTTTTTATCAGGTTTAAATAATTAAAATATTGAACAGGTTTATTAATTTACAAAAGATAAGAAAGAGAGAAGAGAAAAGAACAGAGTCACGTTTACATCGTATTTAATATTTTAATTACGTAGAATTATAAAGATATGATAAAAAATAGAAATGCTGATAATATACTAGTAAAATTCATACTTTTGTTACTTCAAAAATATTGATAAAATTTTTATAAAATTCTTATGTTATATTATAAAGAAGTTGATTAATTAAAATTAACAAAACTTACCATTTTTTTTATCGATGTCAATCAAAAACACGTACAAAAATTGTTTTGTGTGATATACTGGTTTCTTCAAAGATTGTAACAAAATGTAACGTAAATGACGATAATAACGACACTATCACAAAGTTTATAAGTTTTATCTCACGTCAGCTGACTATATCTGCTATGTCTGTCCTGAATAACTTGACATTTTAGCATAATACTGTTTGTGAGATCGTTGCTAAGTAACCATGTCTCACATCATATATACACATGAGAGATAAAGATTATTTCTAAATGTATCTGCAAATTTTAGACTTTGGACACAATTTTTAGCCAGGAAGCGAATGTAAAATATACACCCTTAAAATATATAATAATACATTATTCAAAATAAAATATTTAGAATATTTAGAATATGTGCATAATATATTAGCACGCTAATTTATTAGTTTCATACTTATGAGTGATATTGAATAATATGAAATGTGTTACCATATATTAAAATGATACTTTATTTTGCAGAAATATCAAAGTCTGTCTTCCACAATATACTGCAACGAAAACAAGTTATCTATTTTATAAAGATGCTTGTGGTGAATTAATCGCAATGAATTACAAACAAAATATCCACAACTTAATAAATTGCTACATTTTGATTAAAATAGGAGACAAATATATCACGATTGCTGTTTTCCAAAATTATAGATGCATTTTTTTACAATAATATCATTGTTTTAACAATAAGTTTTCCTTCATTCATATTACAGTATCATACTTCTTGAAAAGAAAATTTAACATCCTTCACACGTTGACAACTGTATACTTTGAAATACATATTGCATTATTTCATAATATCTGCAGGAAGCGTGTACTTTTGCATTACAAATATCTCATTGGAGCATTATATAAACAGCATAAAAAATTCTTAATTTTTCTGCCCTCAGTATCAGCGTTTAAATGATTTCATAATATTAAAAAATTTCATTAATATTCAATTAAAAGCTTGTATTAAGAAATCCCTCATAGCGCATAAGATATTAACAAAATTACAATTACCAATTAGTGCGGCAGTATTTATCGCTACGATCATTATAAACTTACGAAAAGTCGTGCAAGTGTAATAACGATTGCCATTATATACATAAAAACCTGTGCATCCGTAGAAAAATTTCACAATATAAATTATGAGGTAGAACTAGTCTATACGGCATGTAACGAACATTGGGAGGAGAGGCAATTCTTAATCCCTTTAGATTTGGTCCATTATCGATTCTGCCTGTCGAGTCGTGCTAAATTTGTGCTCAAAATCGAAAAGTACATTAAAACGAGATAATAAAAGAAAATACCCTGACGTAATCATTGTTTCCTGTATAAAAATTATGATAAATAATTTAAAACAATGATAATTTATAAATATAATCTTAATCATACTTCTTAAATGTCAAAATTATTTTATGTTAATGAGAAACAATTAGATAAAATCCTAAACAATAAAATTAAATTAACAAAAATAAATAATTACGTTGAACAATCTTGCTCATTGGCAAAATCAATTCTACATAATTGGTAATATGGAATGCTGTAGATTGCATCTTTCATTGTGTTTAGCTCGATTCGCCATTAAATTGTAATAGACATCCCACTGCTCCGAAGTAACCCTAAAGTAAAAAAAAAAAATATGCATCCATGATATTGAATTGTTCATTTTTAAATATACTTTCGGTTTTGTCCTTACTTCATGTTCCAAAAACAAAGCCTTCAAAGTTCCTTTTGACCAATAATCCATAGCATAGGCCAATAATTTCATCGATATGGGATTCACCCTTAAAAAGTTCCCAACAAATACAACCTGCAAATGAAAATTGTTAAAGATGCCATTTTGAGATGCCATTCTATTTAACATAGTTTGTATTATATTATTACCCTTTCTATTTTTTCATTAACAGCGCACATGCGGGCAATGGAACCGATATTATTCGTGATAGTAACAAGCGTTGCACGTGCTAGGTCTTCCTTAGTAACAGCGTTTCTGCGTTCCTTAGAATTCATTTGACCAAAACTAACAGTAAAAAGGAATTGTAAAAAGTGATAATAATAAATTATAGGCTTTAAAACTGCAATTAGTAGTTGTAAATTTACCTGCTCGCGACTAGATCTCCAGGAAGACCAAAAGGACCGTAATCACCGCCATATATATCTTTGACTAACTTATCTACTCTTGTGTTATCACCACCAGTTGCTAATTCTATCGCCTCTTCGAAGGTATTGCATCCGGTGAGTAAACAACATAATCCCAAGAATGTACCACCACCTAAACTATATAAAACAATTAAATGTTATATTATTATTTAATAACGGATATATCTTGCAGATATGTACATGCAATTTACCTCGTTCCAGATATCCTTTTGTAATTCTCCGGTCCGTATACAGCTAGTATGCTTACTCCAGAGCCTATATTAACGAGCTGCAAAATACGTCAGAGTTATAAAACACTGTTTCAATCGAACAAAACGTATGCTAACATATTCTCATGCATATTTCCTTACCAAGAAAGGATATGGTTCGGAAAAGTCAAAGGGTACTTTCTGACATTTGCTCTCATCGGTGGGATTCGTCCAATAATAGCATTCGTGTGGATTCGTAGTCTCTATGTAAAGCATCCCGCGTATTAAACTATCTAATTCATCGAATTTAGCCAAGTTCATGTTTACTTCCTGTCAAAGATATTTTATTATATTTCGAAGATGATTTATTTTTTGCAATGATAAGTATTAAGCTACGCGATTCCGTACCTTTTTAAAATTGTCTTCGAACTTAAAGGCACCGCCACCTGTAGCACAAACGGTAGTCACAAGATTCGCCATGCCTTTTGATTTTGCCAGTGCTAAGAAATTTCCCATTTCACTCGTGGGAAATCTAATAAAATGTAACGTTCCTCGTCTGCCTCTAATATGAACATTATCCATCTAAAAAATTCAAGCAGATAATAAGAAAAAATTATATAAGCATCGTAATCAACCATTTTATAAATTTATAAATTATTTAACAGCACTCACTTGCAAATGAGTATCACGATGACCAGTTTTTCCATATGCTGAGTTTTTAGTTAGATATCTACGAATATTTTTTAACGTCTCAACTTCTGCATCTGCTTCGTCTCTGGTTATATCCTTTGGCTCAAAGTACACTAATTTGCATAGCGTACCACCTATATCCATTCCAAACCAAGGCATTGCTATAACAAAATTGAACGGTTAATATTTTATCTTACATTTTATACAGAAATACAATAATATAGAGTGATACAAATATTTTTGTAAAAAAAGGACAATTATTAATGATCAAAAAAGCACAATTTTGCAAACAATGTGAGATTAAATTCTTCTAAATGTGATTAACAAGCTTATCGTGCAACAAAATTTTTGTAATAAAATATAATATATACACAGTATATATCTAGTTCATCTAAGTAATTACAAATGTTTATGTGGCTGATATTCAAACAAATTAAACGTAACAATTTTATCATAAGCGATATCTACTTTGTTGTGAATGTCGTTCATTTTATGTGAGCACCAGATCACTAGCTATTTTATTAATATTTTAAAACATATTGCATGCAACTAAATTGACAACTTACTAAACTTCTAAAAAAATATAATTAAAACAAAAGGTGTAAGAGCGAGGTGTAACACCAAATTTTATATGGGAAAAAATGTATCAGGTAGCACAGTAAAATAATGTATAACAAAAAAGTAAAATTGGCAATCTATGCACACATACAATCCACTGACTCACAAGGAGATGAATGATTTCTTTCTTCTATAGCCATGACTTTGCCAGCAGAGTATCCATTAGACTCCATGCCTTTTGGAGTTAAACTATTTTTGTGACTTTGTGGACTCATTGCTCAGAATTAAATAATTTACCATAGATTCCTGTCTTATAGTAAATAATCTTCTTGCTGCAAAAAATATACTCATATTAGAAAAATTAAAAGCACATTATCAATAGTATTTATGCTTTGTATTAGGATTCTTCAAGCATTTTCCTCTTTCACATAAAAACTACTCTCTATAATAACTCTGAATGTAATTATTTTTAAATATACAAGGGTCAAAGATTATCCTGTATTTATGCGTCAATGAAAAATGTATGACATACGTAAAAGATTTACATTCAGTAACGTCACATAATTATGCACATTTTTATATTTGTCATACAATGTAATGTAACGCTCTTTTGATCATGCTGAATGAAATAAAATATTATAAAAATGATAACACAGAAATAAATTAACACATAGAACAAATTTAAATTTTGTTCTGTATCATCATGCTTTCTATTGTTAAAATTTAATATTGATTAAAATAAAATATAATTATTTCTCAAGATGCAAGTTTGAGATTAATACCTTATCATAAAATATAAATATACTTTCCACTAGAAATATCAAAATAATATTGCTGTCTTTGCAACAGCGAACAATTCATATTTTAATTATAGAAGCACTTATTTTCTAAACAAACATTTATCGATTTATATTTTTAAATGACAACAACATGTTATATAAGCAAATGATAAATTTGAAGTCAACTAGACAATTAATTTTTACCTCTATATATCATTGTTCCCATTACATAGTTTACGTTATTTTACTTATCAATCACAAATATTGTAACGCTGAAATATTGTATATCACACCGACATTACATTAATAGCAAACTATTGTTACAGATTTTAATTATCGATACACGAGTCTACTGTCCCCGATCGTGCGAGACGCGTCGTTGTAAGTGCCGTCCTCGACGACGTCAAACACCACGTTGATCGAGATATCGCCGTATCGTCGTGTATTCGACGAAGAGCGGCGATGTGGCGTGAGGTCTCACGCCAGGCCGACGTGACACTTACTCATCAAATTTTCGTGAGAACGCCGGTAGTCACGCAAAATCACAGCACAATACAGTCTTCGACCGGACGTTCCTTTCCGTTCCGCTTCCACCGACCGACTGTTCACAACTACCGAGTCTCGAGCACACTGACGATTGCAGCGATCGCAGCACCACAAGAAAGTGCTGTACAAAGTGTGGCACGATATACTATGTTAGAGCGATAACTGTACAACAAACGGGATTCACGAGGACGAAATGGAAACTACGCGGAAACGCGGCGTCCGTTTGCTTCTAGCGAATAAAGTCGGATGTACTAAGCACATTGATAAGACATATTAAAGGCCACTATACATGAAGTTATCTAAGTGCAAAAATATAATATAGATATCTTATGTAATGAAATATCAAATGTATGTTTTTTTTTTGTTAAATAGTGTGATAATTGTGCTAAGTATCTCATAAATTCTAAACATATTTGGAACATGCGTCAGTATGTGCTATCTATCCAATAGATTATATTACGTTCACTTTTTTTTTTTTATAGATAATGCATTTACTCTTTTTAATTTTTTACCTAAAATTGTCATTTTTTTGCTAATAAGATAATTTTGCTCTGCTCCATGACAAAAATTCCTTTAGTATAATGGTTCACTAATTATCGAATTTTTTTCGTTTTCTGAAATAAATATTTGTTGCCTTTAATAGAGAAACAAATAGGAACCGTAGAAACTATCACTTTTCTTGTCTGTCACGTTTCTTTACTTTCCTTATTATTGACTACAGATGTTAATTTTATTTAAAATTGTTTAATTATTCAAGAACACTTATTTTAATCCTTTTGTTTTCAAGCAATTAAAATTAACACTTTGTTTTTTTTCTATTATAGATAGATGTTTGATCCTTTTCTAAGACATGATATTCATGATACTCATGAATAGATAGATTCCAGATATTCACAGATATACAGCGCCACGATCATCTGTTCCACGTTACAGGCATGTTTTTTTTCCATTTCTTATTAATTGCATAAAATTGTTTCTAATTACATAAAAATGTTATCACTCACATTTTATATAACATTCTGTGCGAATGTTATTTCAACAGTAGAGTTCTATATACAATTTTTCTCACATTGTGGAACTGATTACGATCTATTACAGCAGTCAGTCACGCATGAACTGTCAACGCCTGTTGTCTTATCACTCTTATCGCTGTGGTGTCGCGCCAATTTAATCTCTGCGAAATTTGACACACGGGTTAACTCGCGGCTGATTCTTGCATCTCCTACCGAATAACCATCCAGTATTTCATCTGATCCTATTAAAATAGGATTGTCCGCAACAAAAATATATTCCTTGAACGGAAAAGGCTTGAGTTGAAACGATTTTTAAGCAATGTATGACAGAGCAATTCGCACAACCATTATGTCGTACGATACTATCGTACAACATTATGACGCCATATTCGTGAATCATCACTGCGCTCTATTTAAACGACTGTCATTAAACAGCTGCATTCTCTCACGCTTCCTGCAAAATTTAAATTAAAAGTAGTTATATCAGAAACTATATCCTACAGTATATGTAAGAAAAATTCTAGTTGCCATAGATTTTTTTTGATTAATTCTTATCCAACAAGATAATTAATAAAATTAAAAATACTTATTATATATATATAAGCCTTTTCTGAAAATAATGCATAATGAAGAGTTTTTATAGCATGCTGTAAAAATGTAAAGAAACGTGCGCTGTGAATTGGCACAGTATCAAGGTTATATTTCAAGAAGACAAGACAAACTGAAATAAGCTGTTAATATGAGTTTCAAGCCAAACATCTTATTACACTCTGTTGCACTTTTCGATACTCCATCGTGGAAAAAGGGATACCACCCTTAGAATTTATTATTCTAGAGATGATTTTCAGGCATGCGCACATAATATAAAAATATTCCGTCACCTTTTCACTATTCCTTTAAAAAAGGAACAAAAATTTGATCCAATGCAGCATGTAGTTACGTCAGAAAATGTTATCAGTTCGACTGAAATAGTTGTTGCCTCTTTTTTTTACGGTGACAAAATTAATCTTGTGCAGTCAAAGAAATCAGCGCGATGAACAAAATCGGGAAGAAATGATTAACGAACGTCGTTTTACGAATATTGCTTCACATAACCTAAAACTGCGCTGACGTTTCGTCTTCTCGGCGGGAATCTCGAAATTTTCATGTTTTTTGTCAGATTCGCCTGAAAATGCCACCAAATATTTTGAAAAGCAGCTTAGAAAATGCTTCCTTCAACATCATATTTCAGGTATGTTGATAAAAATATTTGCGAGAAAGTTTGCGAATTCCTTTTAAAAGATTTTATTGTACTTATGATATGGTTTTCGTTCTCCAGTGATTTTTCACTCTTTTCAGAATACTAATAAGATGCACAGTTATGTTCCTGAATGATATCTCTACATTAACAAATGTTATACTATGTAAAATTTCAGAAAAATTCTTTTTCCAGATATTCTGCCGCTGTGTCACATTTGTTTTGAACGCATTTGTTGTTCGACATGTAGGTCAAGCGGTTTTAGGTGTCATTAATGTGAGATTATTGTTGCTGGAATCTATGATACTTTTCTTATCACGAGAACCATTTATGAAGGCATGTTTGACTAATACTGCTGACCATAATTGGGCGCAAGTTGTGAATCTACTCTGGCTAACGTTAGTTTGTTATTATTTTTATTACATGTATGTTTAATCGTTGTTTAATAAAATTAGATTAACGTTTTCTAGAGTGCCTATATGCGTTATGATGTCTTTCCTGTTTGGATACGTTTGGTTGTTCTTGCTTCCTATTACAGAGGCGTTACCACCCTACTACACATTTGCAGTTTTGGCAGTTGGACTTTCGTGTATCATAGAACTGTCTTCCTTAATTGTACAATTAGTCGCGAGCGCATTTCTATTCGTTAGACTTAAAGTAAGGCTGCAGAGAAAAGATACATAATTCTTCAAAAGAAGAGCCTCTCATCATCACATATGTTTTTTCAGATAGTTTTGGACACAATCATGATTGCTATTCGCACTATGACGTTTGTCCCGTTAATATTGTATCATCCAGACAATGCATTACTTGCATTCGGTATCGCTCAACTCGTCGCAGCAATATTTTACACGACTAGTCACTACGCATACTTCCACTATCACATTGCGAAGTTGAATAAATGCACACAGAAACGAAGAATGTCTTTGAAGGACAGCAGCGACGAGTATGTAGTGAAAGAGTTCCCTTTTCGTACTGTAAACGACTTTTTACCTGGCCAGCTGGAAAATAACGTATGTATAAATGCATCATCATCACTCTTTAAAAACAATACAACAATTATTTTGTAGGATTCATATCTTGATAAAAAGTTAACTATTCTTACATGGAGTTTCTTTAGACAAGGAATATTAAAGCAAATTTTAACGGAGGGTGAGAGAGTGATTATGACTGTAATGCCAGTATTGACGTTCACAGAACAGGTATACTTATACATCAATATATATTATATTATTGTTACAGACACTAATTTTTATTCTTTGTAAGGGTATCTATGAGGTTGTGAATAATTTAGGTTCACTAGCCGCTAGATTTATTTTCCGTCCAATCGAGGAAAGCGGATATTTTTATTTCACGCAAATAGTGAAAAGGGACAAAGCGATATCTGATCAGAATCCAGTGAGTATCTGTTTTACATATTTTATTTTCAATAAAAAAAAAATAACATATATTTTCATAAACTACGATATTTTCAGATGAAAGTACAAGAGAGTGTAAACGTGTTAACACATTTGTGTTCAATCGTTACATCTATTGGTCTAATTGTTCTAGTATTCGGTCAATCTTACTCAAGCATGTTGCTCTGGCTGTACGGTGGTTCGAAGTTGATCTTACCTTTACCCGTCCTTCTGTTAAGAGCACACTGTCTTGCCGTATTATTATTAGGAATTAATGGTGTGACAGAATGCTACACTAACGCAACGGCCGACAGTGCAACAATAAATAAAAGCAACTTAATCATGGTTTATCAATCAATCGCATTCTTGGGCGCCTCGTACATATTTGCCACTTGGTTTGGACCTGTCGGCTTTATTTTTGGCAACTGCGTGAATATGAGTCTGAGAATCATACATTCGTCAATATTTATCAACAAAAGGCATCAGGATACGATCTATCGTCCCTTACGTGGATTAGTACCAAAGCCCATGTTCTCCGCGTCTTTACTCGTTGCAGCGCTCATCACTAATTTGTCACATGTAAAGTATCCAAAGAAAGGGTTTCTGATACATGCATGTTAAAATTAGCACATTAATGTAATTTTTTTCTATTCCAGGCTTACTTCTTCACAAATAAAAAAGTATTGCACTTACTGATTGGCATAGTGATGTTTACGATTGTACTTCTATCTTGGATGTATGAAAATTACGAATTAATCAAGCTTGCTACAAACAAGTGGTATGAAAAGAAAAGTAAACAAAGAAAAAATGATTAACTTTAAATCTTTATGCCATGTGGATTATTTTATTTATGATTTGTGTATATAAATCATGTTTGTTACAATGTAATAGATTCGTTACATTGTCAGAACTTGTAAATGTTAAAAGACGATATAATATGTACAAATATTTATTTTCTATAATCTTACAATTGTAGTTAAATACAAATCCTTATATATATAATCTTAACATCTATTAAAGATCATAATAACATTAATTATTTCAAATTGATTTATTTTTATATATAGCTGCAACTACAGCCTCTTTACGATGTATAATACATTGCCTAAAATTGAATCAAAGTTTGTATATTAGCTACGTGTATTAAATTACTAATATTGGAAAATCGTCAAATATTCAGCTTACCTGTTATCGTTTTGAAGCGACACGATCGGTATCTCGGATTTGGGCTCCAATTTCACAACTAAATCCATCACAGCTGTTATCAGCCCTGCACTATCACTTGATGCGTAACCTTTAGCTGTAAAAGATTTTATTAGATCTCACGTTCTGTTGTTGTTACACATGTTGCATGTTTGTAATTTTTTGTATTATTAATTTATGCCATATTTCACACAATATTGTGTTTTTAATAATTTATTACCTCCTAAGCAGAGACCATTATTGTCAGCTAATATACAGCCTTCAACATTATCCACATTGTGCCTATTGATAGATCAAAATACAGTATATATTATTATTACATGAAACAAATTCACTCTCAAAAAGTTTATATTGAGAAAAATTGTATGAATTAAAAAAATTTAACCTAATCTATACTCCTGTAGGTTAACTTCTCATCACTATGTAAAATATAATCTGTATTACGAAACTTACACATCGTCCAAAATTTGCTCCAAATTTTGTTCCATTTTCTCGTGATTTCTTTCCGTGAAAATGATTAAATTGTCAATTTCATTAAAAACAATAATAATAATAATCGGCAATCGTTCGTGTATCACTGATTACACTCGAAGTTTGACAGTTTTGACAATGTTGCCACCTGGTTTGAAATTAAAAGGTCGATGAAAGAATCTAGAAATAATCCTCTCTCACTCTCCAAATACGTGATTTGCACACCCTGATTTTCGATATATCGTTAATTCGTGTAAACCACGTGATCGATCTGACGACTTCATGTACTGAGCGCACTTCCAATTATGCAAGTTATAAAATGGTGACCGGACTTTGTCCTTCCTCTATCACATTATAAAACCTAATGATATAAATATCATAAATTACGCATGAGTACTGGATTAACCTAAGAGAAGTTTACTATATAAGGAGACAATCTTTATTTGCTCGCATTTTGTTTTCTTACAATACATTATTTTCTTACATTTTACGCTTTATCTATTCTATCTAAGATAAAACTTCCTATTTACAGAACTGTTCTATTTTTGTTTGTCCAGCGTATATGTTATTCATATTATTCATGTAATCAAAAATTATCGAGAAGATTATATAGATTTTATCTTTATTGTTACGCGAGAATATGAGACACCCGGTATAACCCGTATATAGGTATCATTCAACGCGGCCGACGTGACTTGTTCAGTGACAATCATGGCTGGTAAGTGAGAAGATGTGGATTTGTTTGTTGCTGTTATTTTGTTGAAGAAATGTAAACGATCGAAGACAATAGATTTGTTAATGTGTTATCATGATGTTAAATCGATTTATTGCCCTAAAAAATATTAATTTGCGCTTTTTTACTAACGGTATTTGAATTTAATAGAATTAAATTCGCAGATGTTATTACTCGATTATAAATCTTACAACATTAAAAAAATAATCTTTAAAGTTTAGAAAACTTCTTTAAAAAGTTAGATATTTTATGTCAATATAAATGTATTGTATAAATATTTTAGTTCCTCAAATATTTATCAAGAAATTAATTTATGTGTGGGTATTTTTTAATTGATTGGTAATATTTATCAAAGAACACGTTTTAAAGTTTAGAAAGGTTATTTGCCAAAAAGATATAATTTTCTAAATATTTATTATTTATTTTATAATCATATATATTTTACAATTTTGAAATACAATATTAAATAACATTACTAAACATGCAAAATTGAATCATTTTTATTGTAATAATAGCATAATAAAGAAACATTTTTGTAATTTTTTAATTAAAAAAAAAACTAATTATATCTATAGTGACAGTTTTGTTATCTTAGGGATAAATCCGTACAAGCATTTATTAAAACCAATCAAAATCGAATCCAAGGAATGTCAATATTATGATGTTGGAAGTTTTGGCACAAAATATGGTAAGATAAATTTCTTATTTATTATTCTGTGATATCTTATGTTTATTAAATAAATATGTTTAATTTCTATTTTACAGACAAATTACCATTTTCCATTCGAATTCTCTTGGAAAGTGCTGTGCGCAATTGTGATGGCTTTCAAGTAACAAAAAGTGATGTTGAAAAAATTCTGGATTGGGAAAATAATCAAGCCCTTGATAATGGAGTTGAAGTGGCTTTCAAGCCAGCAAGAGTTTTATTGCAGGTAAAGAATCTTTAAAAATTTTATATTTTATTAATTTGAGCTATATACAATAGATAGATTTATTGATTGATTATATTACAAATAGGATTTTACTGGAGTACCAGCAGTTGTGGATTTTGCTGCAATGAGAGATGCTGTGAAGAAACTTGGTGGCAATCCTGATAAGATTAATCCAATCTGTCCATCAGATCTTGTAATTGATCATTCGATACAAGTCGATTTCACAAGGAGGTATGATTCGCTGCTTTAGCAAGCAATATTTTGATTTTTTATGATGATATTTCCATAAGGAGTGAAAGGTTATCACATGAAGTAAATGATTAAATATTGTTGCAATACACATAAAAAAAGCTTACATAATTCCCTTGATAACACGCAAAAAGAGATATAAATAACTTGACTAAAACTGACTGCAGCAATTTCAAATGTTATATCATGCATTATTACAAATAATTGAATATTATTATATGTTTTAGCCTTGATGCTTTAAAGAAAAATGAAGAACTTGAATTTGTGAGAAACAAGGAACGTTTTATGTTTCTCAAATGGGGCGCAAAAGCGTTTGAAAATATGTTAATAGTACCTCCTGGAAGTGGTATTGTGCATCAGGTGAACTTAGAGTACTTGGCGAGAGTTGTATTTGACTCCAACACTCTCCTGTATCCTGACAGTGTAGTTGGTACTGATTCTCACACCACTATGGTTAATGGTTTGGGTGTACTTGGATGGGGAGTCGGTGGTATTGAAGCAGAAGCCGTTATGCTTGGTCAAGCGATTTCTATGTTAATACCAAAAGTTGTGGGATACAGATTAGATGGTATGATGAATCAATATGCTACATCCACTGATCTTGTCCTTACTATCACAAAGGTAATCTCTCATATATCTCTATATAACCTAGTTAAAAAAATAGAAATTTTCATTCTGGTTAAATGTCTTGTATAATTAATATGATTTGCAATAATTATATATATCTTTAATGAATTTTTATAACACCTAAAAAATATTAACATATAAATTATATAATATTTAAATTAGTCAAATATTAACGAGACGACATTAATAACAAGGCAATCATAATAAGTGTATATATATAATATATTTTGTATATTCATAGAACCTTCGGCAAATCGGAGTAGTCGGAAAGTTTGTTGAATTCTTCGGACCGGGTGTGGCACAATTAAGTATCGCAGACCGTGCTACTATATCCAATATGTGTCCAGAGTATGGCGCAACCGTGGGCTTTTTCCCAGTGGATGAACAAAGTTTATCGTATCTCAGACAAACAGGTAAAACTTTAATGATGATACATTGGCATAAATATATTTTTTTCATAGATTATTTTATGCACTGTCTAAATCTCATATTTTTTTACAACACTAGGTCGATCCGAAGAACATATTAGTAGAATTAAGAAGTATCTTTCAAGCGTACGAATGCTAAGAAATTATGACGACCCGAGTCAGGATCCAGTCTTTTCCGAGATGGTCACTTTGGATTTGAGCACTGTAGTTTCGAGTGTCAGTGGACCTAAGAGACCTCACGATAGAGTTTCAGTGTCCGATATGCAAATAGATTTCAGAAACTGTCTCGTAAACAAGGTTGGTATTTTTAAATATTTCTTCATAAAATATATTGCACTGTTGAGCAAATCTGTTTCACCTAACATATTTTGTATTTTATGAATTAATTAGTTGCACATATAACAATACACTATGATTGATCGACAACGCGTTATATACAATTTTTAAAGTATATATAAATCATGATACTAATATCAATGCTCCAGCAAAGATGATTAATTAGCACATGCAAAAGACGGATATTACCCAGTGACGGTTCCATAAATTATAGTCAAACTGGATTACATCCATCCTATGCTGTACCTCTCTTCTGTTAATAATTAGAGCAAATACAATTTTTTTAATTTTTTTCTAGAGAGGATTAGTAGTATTCTCTTGCTAAAGAAAGTAAGATTCGTGAGCAAAGATGAGAACATTCGACAGAGAACAAGGTAACTTATTGCTGTGATATGAATTACAATATAAACATATCACAGTAAAAGTTCCTTTGGACTCTGTCCAAACGTCTAAAAGTTCTCTATTTCCATAACTATCTGCTGGCACTACTGTAAATTTGGTACAATTAAATCCTTTTATTTTTATGCACATTTTGAGAAGATATCGACTGTTACATAACTTGCAATAGAGATATTCTGAATCTAATTGTGATAAAATAAGTTTACAGCACACGGATATATCTTATTTCACATACACATTAGTGTTACATATTAATATTAAACTGATATTTTGTTATTCATGTTGTTTTGTCTCAAACATTTTTGCTTTGCTAATCTAGCTTTATGATCCTTCAATTCAACATACAGTTAGATTACCAAAGATAAATGAACGAGAAAAATGTGATCACCGAGCGACGATTCTCAGGCAGGAGACGTTCTCTTTCCATTAAGGACAAGTACGTGATCTAGTCACAAGTTTTTGCAGTGTGAACTAGATCTATACTCGTCCCCAGTAGCAAGAGCACTCGAGGGTGGATGAGACTTCAAGAGTGTCGACAGTACAGAGATCCAATATTGTACATAATCATAACCCGGTGAAGATTTCATCGCTACTTTACCGGACATGATTACGTCCAATAATAGACCCTTACAATATCAGATTGCAGACGCTGAAAGTACAAAGATTCAATATTTATCACTGGATACTTACAATAGCTATTCGTTAGCACAATTTCTTCGATGACTTCGACGAGATTTCTTCGTCTTTAGAATCGTACAATTGACGAACTACGATATCTTCTTGAAATTCGTCACTTTAAAGGAACCGCAGGAGAAGCACGTTCAGAGAATTCGAAACTTGGTCGATGTGCATGAATAATAGAATTCTTTACACTGCCGGATTGCTGACTCCACTCGTTGAATTAAACTAAATCTTCCCTCCACTTCTGTTTGCCTGTAGCGTCAGTAGCTCCTGAATGCTCACATCAGCTGATTAGTCAAATTTCCAATTGGAAAGCTTTCGAAATTTTTCAGGAAACGTACAATTTTTTACTGAAATAAGAAAATTATATCTCACAATTTTTACAATACTCATTTAACGTTGAGTTGCTTTCAGATTCACTTCCTAGACAAATATCAGATTTGTACAAAAAATGCAAACGCCGTTGTAACTCGTTCATATTTGAAAATGAATCGCGCAAAGTATTTATCGCACGGATATTACCTCGCGACCGCTAAGAAAGTCGTGATCCTGATCCGGCAGGCAGACTGTAATGAATGATCGTTCAACGGACAGAAACAATGCATGTTTATGAGTTTAAAATCGTGTCGATCGATTTCTATTCGAAATGTTCAACATTGGTATCACGTTACTTGGCCTATGACAGCAAGGACACTTGCCGAAGAAACTCATCCACATGAATCATAAAGCTGACGCTTCTCCTCCGATGAAATTTAATTCCTCTTCGCTGTTAGATTAACGATCGAGAACGACGATTGAAGTTGATTAAAGACCGATGAGATATATTCTGTATACTTTTCACAAATACAGAAGTATGTTTATACATTAAATAGATAAATAAATTAATAATTAATTTTTTCGAATTAATTTAGAGGAATCGTTTAACGAAATTTTAACTAAGAATTTAATTTAGAAGAATTTAACATAAAAAAAATTAGAAAATTGTATATATATATGTATAGTAAAGAATATTCTCTCTTATTATTTTTAAGGAGGAAAAATTGTCCGTATTCTGAAGAAACTGTTATACGAATTCAAAAACAAAAATTAATTGTAACATTTGAAAAGCAATATTTTACAGCTTAAAAATATTTTAATATTGTTATTTTTCTATTTTCTTCTGTGGTATTTAATTATTATAATGTATGCTTTATTTCGTTATTTCTACTTCTGAGAAATTTAAAATTAATACCACTTAAAACATCATTAGTAATTTAGAAATTATATTTCGAGAACATCGTTTGTAAATTAATAGCAGTTTTCGACCATTTATAAAACCAAACGCATTTGAATGAAACTGATTAGCCATTATCAGCCGCCCATTACTTATGCTTTCTTTCTAAAATCAAGAGTTATAAGTTAACAAATTTTACTTTTCTAAATTTACTAAAATCAAATAGAAATTAAGTTTTTCTTGATAATTTCAAAATTTTACGACTTTAAAAAATTTTAAAATATTTCACTATTATGCAAAATATGATCAGAATGCTAATTTCTATAAAAGAACAATCGCGTATTAGAATGAAACCATCTTGTTATTCAAAACTTTCAATAATTACATATGAGAAAGATTATTTGTATATATATACATACCGTTGATCGATCGATCCGTCCGCTTCGTCGGGGAAGACAAGAGTCTTTGGTCGCACCTCGCACAAGTTCTGGAAGACGTATTCAGAGCTCGCGTTGAAATTGCTGATACAACATCCTACTACGTTCGTTTTGCAAAGCTCACACATTTCATTGCAAACGAGCCATCGTTTGACGTGCATGCTGGTATATAGAGAGGGCTCGGGTTTCCGATTAAAGCATAGAGTGCCTAGAATCGGTGAAGAAAAGGATATATTTGTGGAAGAATAGAAAATTCAATTTTAAAGATTCAAGTTTAATTTAGTTCATATTAAATTTTCTGCATACGATATGTGTGTAATAATTGTAATTTTAGCAGCAAAGTGTTAAAACAAATTTTTATGCCTTTTGTTTAGCACATTTCTTTATATTAAGGGTACGTTAAAAGTATTTCACTTACATAAAGTTCCAATTTTTGCGTATTTGCGAATGTAACTAAATCACTAACTTACTTATTATATTTACAAAAATTCTTTGTTTTTATTGATTAATAATCTATGATTTGCAAATTATAATTTTATATATATAT